TATTGTCACAGGCCTAACACAACCAATTTGAAAGACAGAGACATTCAAAAATGTCACAAATGTTAATTAAAGGGAACATGTCACATAGTTACTATCATCGTGGAAATAAAAATGTCAGAGGTTTTGTAAGGTAAGATTGATTCATGCCAAATAAAGCAGAGCATGCGCGAACATGTTTTGAGCTTATGAAATGCTACAGCTCTGGACTGATGGGATCCAGAAGTTTGGTAAACAGTGTTATAAAGAATCAAGTTTTGATGTAAAATGTATGATTCCGCTCTATTTCCAGGCCTCTTATCAGATAAGCAAAACAACATGACATTGATCATGAGACTCTCTGTTCAGATGGTCAGATTTACTCCCACTGATGCTCGTTTGGGTTAGTTTATGCACGGTTATTCAAAGTTACATTATAAATAAATAAATAAAATATATATAATTATGACCACATACACTACCGATCAAAAGATTAAGGTCAGCAGGATTTTTAAATGTTTTAAAATAAGCTTCTCCTGCTCACCAAGGCTGCATTTATTTCATCAAAAACTACAGTACACGCTGTAAAAGAGTGAAATGTTATTGTACTATAAAATAACTGTTCAAAAGTAGTTTAGAATTTAATTTAATCATTTATTCCAGTGATTTTAATGATGAATTTTCAGCTTCATCACATGATCCTTCAAAAATCACTCTAAAATTAATAATAATAATTAATATTATTAGTATTGTTATTATTATTTTATATTATTATTAATACTATTATAATTATTATTATTATTATTATTATTACTAATGGTAACAGGAATAAAAGCAATATTGATTTTTGAAGTATTAATTTCATATGCAACTACATACAATAAAAAAGCAGTTATTAAACATTTTAATAAATTAAATCACATTTAATAAATGCCACCCTGCTGAACATAATAATAAAAAAAAGAAAAACTGAACCCAAACTTTGGACTGGTGGTGTTTATTTTATGTATAATCAAATTATTAGTCCTCTTGTGTATATTAGTCCTCCTGTAATTTCTTTTCTTTTTTTGATGTTTTTTTTTAATACTTTTTACAAATATTTCTCAAGCATTGTTTAACAGAAAGATTTTTTATTATTTTTTTTTTAGGAACTAATTTCTAATAACCGATATAACATAATATTTTAGTTATTTTGCAAGACAAAAGTGCAATTTAAAGGCTTTTCTATGTTATTATTTTAACTAGGCTAGTAAGGATAATTTAATATATATTGTTAGAAAGTGTTTTGCTGTGTAGACATTTGATAAATAAATATTTCTAATAGGGGGCTAATAAAATTGTCCATAAAATAGTTTTTAAAAAATTGAAGACTCAAGTCAAACTAAAATAAATGTCTTTCCCCAGAAGAAAAATATTACAGGAACTACTGTGAAAATCCCCTTGGCCTGTTAAATATAATTTGTAGAATATTTTTTTTTAAATAATACAAATTTAACACATAATGTAATAATATAATATAATATAATATAATATAATATAATATAATATAATATAAATATTTATATATAAACCTAAATAATGTATCATATTCAATTTATTCAATTTAAACAATAGTCTTTGGACTCCATCATCATGGTACTGAATGACTGATAATATTACTGTATTATTAACATGCTTCTGCAACATTATGTGAACACACTCAAATATATAGATTATCCAGTGGCATCACTAGGGGGGAAAGTTAGGGCAATTTTAATGGTCCACGCTGTTTAGGGGCCACAGGAGTTACTATAAGGGTAACAACCCCCCACCTCCCTCTTCTCCTAGAGGGCACACCCAAAAAATTCGGTCATAGAGCGCACACAATCTGTCAACGCGCCGCCCCTGGATGTATCCAAGTAGATTTACATTTAGTCATTTAGCAGATGCTTTTATCCAAAGCGACTTACAAATGAGGACAAGGAAGCAATTTACACAACTATAAGAGCAACAATGAATAAGTGCTGTAGGCAAGTTTCAGGTGTGTAAAAAAAAGTATAAGAAGCAAAACATTAGTAATTTTTTTTTTATGTAGTTAGCGGAGGAGTCAGAGAGGCAATTGCAGATTAGTAAGGAAAGTGGAGACTAAATAGTTGACTTTTTAGTCGTTTCTTGAAGACAGTGAGTGACTCTGCCGTTCTGATGCAGTTAGGGAGTTAATTCCACCAACTGAACAGATTGAGCGCGAGAGTTGGGGAAAGTGATTTCTTACTGAGGTAGACACAATAATCATTGAAAACTAAACAAATCTGGGTTGTTTAAAAAAATGGACAAAACATAACGATGGGTTATCTTTTGTCAATATAATTTATATTGTATAGCATTACATTTCTATTAAATATTTGGGTTTGTCTATTGACCTAATTCTTAAATGCGGAAGTGCGCCTGTTTTCGCGATTGTCTTAGAACTTCCGATTTAGTCGCCTATGGGAGAAATGACTAGGAATTATAAAACGGTAGAAAATGGTCAAACTACTTGCTCTACAAACAAATGTTTGCATGACTACACAGACCAAGTAGAATAATTTAATAAGAAAATATCAAATTGCAACATCAAGCAGCGTAACGAGCAGTTTTTAACGTCAAAAAATGAATGGAAGTGAATGTGACCGGAAGTCTCGAGACAAAAAGATTCAAATGGCAGCGCCCGCTGGTCGGCGGAGAATAAGGTGAATGCTTTATACAAATTTGAGGGTTTTTGTGTGTGTGGGGGGGCGAAGCAGGGGCGCAGTAGGTAGTGCTGTCGTCTCACAGCAAGAAGGTCGCTGGTTTGCGTTTCTGTGTGAAGTTTGCATGTTCTCCCTGCGTTTGTGTGGGTTTCCTCCGGGTGCTCCGGTTTCCCCCACAGTCCAAAGACATGCGGTACAGGTGAGTTGGGTAGGCTAAATTGTCCATGGTGTATGAGTGTGTGTGTATGTGTGTGTGTGTGTGTGTGGATGTTTCCCAGAGATGGGTTGCGGCTGGAAGGGCATCCGCTGCGTAAAAACTTGCTGGATAAGTTGGAGGTTCATTCCGCTGTGGCGACCCTGGATTAATAAAGGGACTAAGCCGACAAGAAAATTACTGAATAGTGTGTGTGTGTGTATGTGGTTGTGTGCACGGGTGCGTGTCAGATTTCACCTCTCAGTCTTGAGTATTATTTTAACAACCTTGATAGGTTGTCTCTATTAATCCAATTTGTTTATTGCCATGTACAGTAAGGAAACACGTTTCCCTGTACAATGACATTCTTACTTTGCTGTCCACAGTGAAGTCATACATATAATATACACATCATACACGGCATACACATATATATACACAGAAGTGATAGAAGTATAAATATGAAATGTGTATGTATAAATATCTATGAATGTCAATAATTTATATTACTGTGTAAACAGATCATCTGCTTAGAATTTTAAGGTTCTATCTGACATTTTTGTCAGAATTGAGTTATTGACATATTCCTATTAAATGACAACTTAATTACTTTATGGCATGTTTTTTTATACGTTGTTTACATTTTAAGACTTTATTTAAAAAACAAATGTTACACACAAGCTGTTTGCTATATAGAATGCAAAAACTTTAAAGCTCAATATCTCGAAATCATTTAGAACACAGATAGAACCTTATAATTCCAAGGTGACGAGATGTAAACAATGTAGAATAATTGTTTGAAATTGCGCTTATTATGCAAAAAGTGCCTAGTGCAATTGCCTTATGTGCAAACAACAGTATAATGGCCGGAGCAGATTGAGTGCAATTGTATGCATTAAAAGTGCAAACTGGATGAAGAATATAGTGTGCTACAGAGCAAAAAAAAATTTACTGTTTGTGTCCACTGGTTATCCATTTAAAAGTCTGATAGCTGATGGGGGAAAAAAAAGAGTTTCCCATTTATTTCCATGTAACAGTGGCATGAAATACATAATTACCACGTATGATAAACTTGAGAGGAATGTCGCACTAAACTTACAAATTAAACACCTCAGGCTTTATATTGCTCAACATATAAGTTACATAACTCAATATACAGAGTGCAGAAAAATCAATCGGCATGTTATTAAATGCGTTTGGATCATGACATTTATTTGCTTTCTCGGGATCTAGACAATGTTTTCATAAATGTAAAAAAAAAATAATAATAAATACATATTCAAGTTAAATAGCTAATTCCTGAATATAACATCTTTTATTATTAGTTAATGATAAATAATCACCCGAAAATACAAATTCAGTCATCTTTTACTCTCCCTACAATTCTTCCAAACCTGTTTGAGTTTCTTTCTTTTGTTGAACACAAAAAATATATATTTCGAAGAAAGCTGGAAACCTGTAACCATTGACTTCCATAGTAGAAAAAACGAATAGAAGTCAATGGTTACAGGCTTGCAGCTTTCTTTAAAATATCTTCTTCTGTTTCCAAAAGAATCAATTAAACTCATAAAGGTTTGAAACAACTTGTGGGACAGTAAACAGCGAGTAAATGATGAAACAGATTAAAATCTGGGGTATTTATTATTCAAACTTATGATTTGACATCTAACTATTCAATTTATATCAACAAACTAAGTTATATATGTAAATATATACATATATCTATAGATAAAATAGACATATGAAAATAGATAATTATGAAAATATAAAATAGATATTATTTACAGTTAAAATATATACATAGTCAAATGTAAAACATATCTATGACGGTAACGTTATACATCAAAACTTTTCAAAAATATTTATATGAAAGCAACATTTTTACACTATCTTTACATTAATAGATTTATTTTTCAGCATTTCAGACATCACTGCCATAGTCACTGACGAAAAATTAATACATAAACAAGTTAGCGTTGCTAGTTTCCAGTAAGTTTGCTTGTTTCCAATGGATAGAAGCACGGTAAAGGTGGCAGGTGAACTTTGGTGAACTCGAACTTTCACAATCACTCGTCAAGCTCAGGTTTTAGACAGAAAAGCCCTTTAAAAAGGACGAGACTCACCCACGGCGACACACAGAAGATCCATCAGCACAATAAACATTCTGTTCTTCTTCAGCTCCGACATGACTGTGATTCTTCTTCACTGAATCTGTGGCGAGTAGTAGTTCTTCCGGGTGTCCGTGGCACCTGCGTGAAGGTGCGCTGATGATGAAGATGATGATGTAACGTGTCCCCGCTCGTTTCCCGTACTGTACTTTCAGTGCCACGAGCTTCAGTCCACGCGGTTGAACAAAACGCGTTAAAGCTGAAGACTGAAGCGCAAAACAGTTGAACAGACTTTACTCGCGCATGACCACGCCCACAAGTGACGTCACTCGTGTTCCCTCTCTCTCTCTCTCTCTGGCTATCTTAGTTCAGGAGTGGAATAAACTGTAATAGATTAACCCCTTCAGATTGTGTTTACAGTACTATTTCGAGTAGCTATTGATCCATAAATGAAAATCTGTGAACTGTTTTAATTGTGCGATAATTATTTTCTTATGTCCATATGAGAGAAAGGTATTATTTAATAAATTATGTTATATTATATATTTCTGGTGTCAGCAGGTACATAAAATTGCAAAGACTACCTGTCAAACGTTTAGGGTCAGTTTTTTTTTTCATGTTAAAATTATTCTGTTCATCAAAGCGGCATTTATGAAATGTAAAAGACAAAAGTTAACTATTTATAACAATTTTAAATAACTGATTTTTATTGTTTGTACTTTCAAATTAAATTATTACTCCAGTTATTATTGCTTTTATTACTATTACCATTAATAATAATAATCATAATAATAATAATAATAATGATTTTAATAATTCATCATTAAAATCACTGGAATAAATGATTAAATTAAATGATAAACTACTTTTGAACAGTTATTTTATAGTACAAAAACATTTCACTCTTGAACAATTTGTACTGTATTCAAAATTCAAAATTTAACTAACCCCAAACTTTTAACCGGTCAAAAAAATAAACAGGGAATCTACTAACTCAGGGGGGCTAATAATTCTAACTTCAACTGTATGTATGTGTGTGTGTGTGTGTGTGTGTGTGTGTGTATATATATATATATATACATATATATATATATATATATATATACATATATATATATATATATATACATATATATATATATATATATATATATATATATATATATATATATATATATATATATATATATATATATATATATATATATACATATATAACCATTAAAGACAATTATTACAGTGCATATATCTCTATGGTACAATGGTCTTTTGAGGTAATTAAAATTTTTTTTATAATGATATTTAATTATTTTTTTGTTTTATAATCTTTAAAAAGTAATTTATTGATTAAATCCCAGAAAATGTATCAATAGGAACAATTTTGTAACAGTTAACCCACGTTTGTGAGAAGTATTATTTAAAATGTACACTTTATTATAAATAGTTTATAAATTTTAGCGTATGCTACGACGCAGCCTACGCGTGGACGCATAGCCCTCGTCGTGGCAGTCGGCGTCGCTGACACGCACCTTTCAAAAAATGTAACTACACCTCGCAACGACGTATAGCGCAAGCTTTGGGATTAGTCGGCTTGGTGGCACTGACGAGTGTAGGCGGGAACGAAAGCCGTGCAAGCCTGATGGAGCGATTGTTTACAAGCGAGGATTCCCGTGAAGGTACTACGGATGGAAAGTTTTGTTTTGTGTTTACCTTATGATTAATGTTGTTGCACGTCCGCCGGTTCCTGCCTCAAAATGAGCAAGTTTGAGACACTTGTACATTAAAGAAGAGCTCAGAAAAAACAAAACACCAGCGAAGAAACTCGACACAGAGGAACATAAACACCTCACTGCCAACTAGCATTTCAGAAGTGTTACTGCAGAGCAACAGAGACAGCGCGCAGAAGTATGAATGCACAGCTACGCGCGTTCCATGTGCCATGCGTCACGCCGATCACTTGATGCAGAAGTATAAACCAGTCCCTTTTTTATCAGGGGTCACCACAGCAAAATGAACTGCGAACTATTCCAGCGTGTGTTTTAAGCAGCGGATGCTGTTCCAGCTGCAACCCAGTAATGGGAAACACCCATACACTCTTGCGTTCACACTTATATGGCCAGTTTATTCAAATCACCTATAGCGCATGTCTTTAGATTGTGAGGGAAACCGGAGCACCCGAAGTAAACACACGCCAACACAGGGAGAACATGCAAACTCCACACAAAAATCCCAACTGACCCAGCTGGGACTCGAACCAGCGACCTTCTTGCTGTGAGGCAACAGTGCAAAGCACCACAAACACACCATTAAAAATCTAAAATGTCCAGTTTATATCAGTGTTTAAAAAAAGAAACATGTTTTGATCCTTCTTTTTGTGTTTTGTAAGGTTGTCAGGGGCGGACTGGCCATCTGGCAATTCTGGCAAATGCCAGAAGGGCCGGACCATTTTTTTAAATGTGGGCCGGTATGCTCTTTTTTAAATAACGTTTTTTTAATATGTATTGTTTTTACATGTTTTTTTCTTGCAAGAAGTGAATATTGTGATGATGATGATGATGATAGTAATAATAATAATAAATGTTAAGCGTTGGCCCAATCGGCAATGGTTGACTGGTTTCAAAATGGGCAGACGTAATCAAAATCTGGCAAGAATGTCAAACAAACAGTAAGTGCAACACAAGCTAATTGTCAGAGATGGACCGTTAAAAAAAAAGAAAAGGCGGTGCCGAAAAGGCCAGAGAAAGCAAAAAAATTGTTCTAAAATCAGACGCTGCCAAATGCATAACATTAACTGAAAGAGACTTGAAAGGACACTGTCGACAGCAAGAAGGTCGATGGTTCGTACCTCGGCTGGTTAGCTGGTGTTTCTGTGTGGAGTTTGCATGTTCGCATGGGTTTCCTCCCGGTTTCCCTCACAAGTCCAAACACATGTGCTATAGGTGAATTGGGTAGGCCTAATTGGCCGTAGTGCATGTATGTGAATGTGTGTGTATAGGGGTTTCCCAATGATAGGATGCAGCTTGGAGGACATCAGCTGCGTAAAATATGGTACTGCTTACATTATTTCACCACCTGTACAATATAACAATATAAGTAGTGAATGTGCGTGTCCGTGGCTGGGGCTGTGTCGGTGTGGTAATGTGGGCTGGTGTGGCTACAGTGCCAGGGCTGATTTTTAGTCCCAGTCCGCCCCTGAAGGTTGTGCTATTGTTCTGGTTAACAACAAGGGAAGTGGCCTACAGTATAAACAGATGTGCTCTTGGTTAACAAAAGCAAGCAATGAAAAGATATAGTTTACCCAGTTTATTTTTTCTTCTGTTGAAGCCTAAAGAAGTTACTTAGAAAAATGTTAGAAACCAATAACCATTGACTTACATCAGGGGTGGGCAAACTCGGTCCTGGAGGGCTGGTGCCCTGCACAGTTGAGCTCCAACTCTGATCAAACACACCTGCTAATAGATTTCTAGTGATCCTGAAGACACTGATTAGCTTGTTCAGGTGTGGTTGATTCATGTTGGAACTAAACTATGCAGGACACCGGCCCCTTCAGGACCGAGTTTGCCTATCCCTGACTTATATAATATTTGTTTTTCCTACTATGAAAGTCAATGTTTACAGGTTTTTAACATTTTTCAAAATAACTTCTTTTAAAGTGAACATAATTGTAACCAGGGGTATGACACTTACAGAGTTCGGCTCCACATGCAGGTTTATTGAGGCAGGCAAGCAATGGTCAACACGGGTGCAAACAGATGTGTGAAGGAAATCCAGAATTGTAGTCAAAGTATTAGGCGAGAGGTCAAAAGGCAGGCGGCAGGCAGGGATAGCTAGATTAACAAGGCTAGGAGAGAAACACAGAAAAACGAGACAAAGGAAACGTGTTGTAATGTCACATACAGTAAATAAGACTCAGCGACTGGAGTGAGTGTGTGTTGCTTAAATAGTGTGTGTAATCTGTCCTTGACATTCCTCCGGTGGTGTGTGTGTAATCAGGAACATGTGTGTGTGAGCGGAGTGCATGCATGAAAATGTAGTCCATAACCTGGTGAATTTGTAGTCCATAAGCGATTGTGAATGTATTCCAGCAATCTATAGAGTTAAGATCAAGAGTTATTGATGATCATGACAATAATTGGCCTTTCTGTGTGGAGTTTGAATGTTCTATTGGTGAACTGAAAAAACTAAATTAGTGTATAAGTGTGAATGTAAGAGCGTATGGGTGTTTCCCAGTGATGGGTTGCAGCTGGAAGGGCATCCGCTGCGTAATACCATTCATTCATTCATTTTCTTTTCGGCTTACTCCCTTTATTAATCTGGGGTCGCCACAATGGAATGAACCGCCAACTTATCCAGCATATGTTTTACACAGCAGATGCCCTTCCAGCTGCAACCCATCTCTTGGAAACATCCATACACACTTATTTACTACGGACAATTCAGCCAACACAATTCACCTGTACCGCATGTCTTTGGACTTTTAGGGGAAACCGGAGCACCCAGAGGAAACCCACGCCCACACAGGGAGAACATGCAAACTCCACACAGAAACACCAACTGACTCAGCCGAGGCTTAAACCGGCGACCTTCTTGCTGTAAGGCGACAGCACTACCTACTGCGCAACTGTGTCGCCCTTGCATAATAACATATGCTATATAAGTTGGCGGTTCATTCTGCTGTGGAGACCCCTGATTAATAAAGGCACTAAGCCGAAAAGAAAATGAATGAATGAATAATTAGGAAATTCGCAAAGGTTTGGAACCACTTCAGGCTGAGAGATATTTTGAATTTTGGGTGAACTGTCCCATTTAGAATTACACTGAAACTATGATTGACTGGATTTACATTATTTATTTTTAAAGATAAGTGGTTGCAAACAATTTATATGAGGGCCATTCTTCAACAACGGGCACTTTTAGCCTTGTGAAGTTAAGTAAAAAAAAACCTGTTCAAAATGAACGTAACAGACTTATAAGTTTAAACAATTTGTCTAGTTTTAAGATCTGTAAGAGAACAAACTTGGATAAGAAGAGAAACAATTTTTCCATCGTGAACTGAACAAATTCCACCTCATCTCAATATACAGCTTATTTCAAAATGAAATAAATTATGGCAGTCAAACATTGTCTAAGATCATTTTTGTATCTAGTTTAACCAAATCTTTCCACAATATATATAATAATTATACATTTGTCAATGAAATAAATGAGTTGTATGCTGAACTGTGCACCTGTCTCTCTCTAAAAGGTAATAATTTAAGAGTTTATTGGAAAATAAATAAACTGAATTTTAAATAGAGCATGAACTTCTATAT